AGCCTTGCTGGCTGGGGAATTCTGGGAGTTGAGGTCCACCCAACTTAAAGTGGCCAAGGTTGAGGAACCCTGTTGTAAGCAATTCTTTCCCCAAACATTCAGACCAGGCTCCATTTATAACATCAAAAGCATTCTGACCACGAGATGGCAGCAAACGGCAGCAAATGCAACTCACATCCTCCAAAGAGAAGAAAAAGGCTTTGCGGAAGTCAAGCAGCATTATCCTTGGACCTACAACTTCTCGTTTTCTCCTACCTGAGAACAAGTAAGTTACCTGCACCTCCTCTTAACCTCTTTTCTGAGCTGTCCAGAGCCACCTCTGACCACCCTTTTAGAAAATGGTTTGCATGACTTCCTGCATTTTGAAGTGGAAAATCCTCATACACTGTATTGTAAGCCCTAAAATAGTCTTAACATAGTTTAAGAACTAATCCCCAAATAAAGAACTGGACTACGGCCACCTGCCATTTTATTTTCTCTGAATGCTTTTAGTGGAGGCTGGAGATTTTATTAAATAAGATGCTGGGTGGTGGCCTGTTAAATTCTGGTTTCTGGTTGGAAAAAACAGTGATTGGAACATTTAACCTGGGTCTAGAAAAGTGGACTCCCCAAAACCTAATGGGCATTTTCCAAGAAATATAAACTAAGACTAATAGAAATTATGAATGTTACACACACGCGCGCACAAAGTCACAATACAAAGGAGACTTTAATAAGTAATCAGCTTAAGATTGAAACCTCTAATTATTTTGATGTGAGTTGTAGCAGTCCTTTTTCAATGTTACACCCAACTTTGGATGAAAAAGCTGAAAAAAATTATGTTTGTAAACATTGCCATCCTAAATGGTCATTAACATCGATAGAATATTTTTTCTTTCTCTTCTCTGTCCTCAATACTCTAAGCTGTTTAATTTTAAATTTAATTTTAAATAATTTTAAACCTAGTATGCAAACATCAATGTATGGAGACAACGCAATGTAAAATAAGATTTATAACAACATAATAAAAGGTGGGGGGAATCATGAACTTTCCAAGTGATTGTGTATGAAAAATACTAAATGGCCTTCAGTAAAGTAGGATTTATCTGCCCAAATGTCTCAGTTGTACTTTAGCCTTTGCACATTGCTGTTTGCCAGTCCATTGCCTAGTTATTATTGTTCTATTTTGTGTTTAAAAAGGATAAATAAATGTGCTTTGATTTTTTTTTTTTAAAGAGCACCTTCAGGAGAAATGTAGAACTGAGTCTGGAAGATGCCAGTTACAGTTGTCAGAAAACGACAGACACGGGTTCGGTTATCCAGTAGACAGAAGTTTTTATTGGGC